TTCCTCCTCAACCTGAGCACTTGCTGCCTCTGTTAGATCCTCAATTGTTTCAGTGTTTTCCACCAGAGTATTTTCTAAAACAGGACTTTCTTCATGTTTTAGCTCTAATGACTCCTCTTCCATTTTATATGATTGAATTTACAAAGTTTTTTTTTTTAATTATTACAATAATTACATGTAATTTCTCTAAAGTAAATCAATGTTTAGCTCATGAAAGACGCTTTCCTCAACTATTTTGTGTCTGTACGGGCGTGCGTGCTTGTTGCCATGGGCACCCAGAGCGAGAGCCAATCGCAGGCGTTCGCTGTGTCCTTATTAATATTAATAAGACGCAGCGGCGTGACCGGAGATACTCCACTGCGCATGCCCAGCCCCGCGCCACTGCTGCTTCCAACAACAAGCGGTAGTAAGCAATATGGCCGACCTAGGGAAGAAGTACTGCGTGAACTGCTTGGCAGATGTTACGAATTTGCGGATTCGCTGTGCCGAATGCCAGGATATTGAACTTTGTCCGGAGTGCTTCTCCGCAGGTGCCGAGATCGGTAACCACAGGCGATGGCATGGCTATCAGCAAGTTGACGGCGGGCGCTTCTCGCTCTGGGGTCCCGATGCAGAGGGAGGATGGACTAGCAGGGAAGAGCAGTCGCTGCTCGATGCCATCGAGCAATATGGATTTGGTAACTGGGTACGATTCTCAAATGAGTCCATATTGATGCGTCTTTAATAAACTTCCTTTGCATGGCCAAATGTGCACATCAATACACAATGGTCATGCTTAGTCTGCAACAAATGATGCATTGCTTAGTTGAAGAAACTTAGAAATAGTTTTTTTTAAGAACCAAGCATATCCCCTAGGTCTGTGCTGCATATTGTATTACAGGATTATTTAACCCAATGAAATGAATTGCAGAAATGAATTTTACAACCCATTTAAAGTTTTGCTCATTCATAATAAACGGCACAATATAGAGTTTCCACAGAGAGAACAAACTGTACTCTGCACTATTGCTGAAAGCAGGTTATATTCATTAAGTTATATTTGCATTAATATAATGTATGTTAAGAAATAATAATAATGTTAAAGGCTTAGTTTATTTACTCACCCTCATATCGTTTCAAACTCATAAGGCTTTTGTTATCTTCTAAACACAACCTGATGGTACTTTTTTAAATAAAACATGATGAGATTTTTGTCCTTCAATTGAAAGTCCATGTCACCAAAACTTTGATGCTTCAAAAAACGTTGTAAACATTATCCATATGAATCGAGTGGTTTAATATATGTCTTCTAAAGAGACAGCTGTCATCTTTATTGGTGATTTGTAGATGAATGACATGCATTTGCACTGACATGAGGGAGAGTAAATGACAGAATTTAATGTTTGAATGAACTAACTCTGTATCTTTGTTTATTTCTGTGTGTTAGGAGGATATGGCAGCCCATGTGGGTGCATCACGCACCCCTCAGGAGGTCATGGACCATTATGTGAGCATGTATATCCATGGGAATCTGGGCAAAGCCTGCATCCCTGACAGCATCCCCAACCGCGTGACAGACCACACTTGTCCCAGCGGAGGTCCGCTGTCTCCTAGTTTGACTACCCCGTTGCCCCCATTAGACATATCTGTGGCAGAGCAGCAGCAGCTGGGATATATGCCGCTTCGTGACGACTACGAGATCGAATATGACCAAGAGGCAGAGAAACTCATCAGTGGCCTGTCTGTAAACTACGATGATGAAGATATCGAGATCGAGATGAAACGAGCCCATGTGGACATGTACGTGCGTAAGCTGCGTGAGCGCCAGCGACGCAAAAACATCGCTCGTGATTACAATTTAGTGCCAGCCTTTCTGGGACGGGACAAAAAGGATAAAGAGCGAGAACGACCAGGTGGGACAGGGGGGGTTGGGGGCATAGGTGGAGCTGTAGGACTGGGAGGTGGCACCACCATCATTCCGACAGGGTCGCTGGGCTCCTCTTCAGCAGCAACACCGAAACGCAAAATCACCAAGGAAGAGAAAGAGCAACGGACGAAACTACGTGCCCTTTGCCAGTTCATGCCACAACGTGAGTTTGAAGAATTCTTTGATAACATGCACAAAGAGCGCATGCTGCGGGCGAAAGTTCGGGAGCTTCAGCGTTATCGGCGGAATGGCATCACGAGACTCGACGAGTCGGCCGAGTATGAGGCGGCACGTCACAAACGAGAAAAACGGAAAGAAAATAAAAGTATTGCTGGTTCAAAGAGAGGTAGTAGCGGCGGAGGAGGAGTGGCCGGGCTTGGAGGAGGAGTTGGAGCAGGAGGTGGGCTTGGCGGAGGTGGAGGAGTCAGTGCCATCAAAGAGGAGGGGAAAGACAGTGAGTTCTCAGCCATCGAGAACCTGTCTGGCTTTGAGCTGCTGTCCCATCGGGAGAAGGTACTGTGTAACTCTATGAACCTAAGTCCCACACGCTATCTGACTGTCAAGACTATCATCATCAAAGATCACTTACAGAAAAGGCAAGGCATTCCCTCGAAAAGCCGCCTACCCAGCTACCTGGACAAGGTGCTGAAAAAAAGGATTCTGAATTTCCTGTCGGAGAGCGGCTGGATATCCCGAGAAGCCTCCTAACGGCACTGTCCAAAGATTTGGCTGTAAGAATAATAGCTGTAAATATATTTTTCTACTGTTTTATATTGCATTTCAGAAAAGCCTGTGAGAACTAAATGACTGTAGGTGCCACACTACTGGTTGTGGACCTTCAGTGAGTCTAACATGTCTGTCTTTGATCTCAGATCTCCTCATCGAAACATAAACATGGTTATAGTACATAATCAGTATCCATAGGGAACTTTCCAGCAAGTTGTCCTGTGTAATACATCAGAATAACCACACAAAAACCCATTGCGCCACGTTAAAATGCCTCCGTTTTGAGTGTGATTTGGAGTGGTGTTGAATGTTCCCTGCCAATAGAGTATAAACAGAATGTTTATTGTTGTACAAAGCAGATTTTTAAAATTGGTTCTGAGTTTCTTTTTTTTTTTTTGTAAGAAGGAAATTAGGTCAGATCCTTGTTCTGCTTGCCAAAAGTCTAAACTTCCTGTGTTCTAACCTGAATTTGCCTGTTTCAGTTGGATGTATTTTGTTGTGTCAATTGTGGGAATGTGAGTCACATGACGCATGCTCCATACTATCTAAATGTCTAAAAGTTCATGTTTGATTATTATTATTTTTTGGAGTTGATCTTTGCGAGGTTATGTTACTATTGAGCATGTTTCAGAGGCTCAAGTTAAATGGCACACATCCAGGCCCTGATCACCAATGGAGAACATTTACCACAATGCTCCTGTTTCAAGAGAGTATTATTCTGTTTGTTGGGTAAAGTGAGGATTAAAGTTAAATACAGCATCAAGGGTTCTCATTTCAACATGTACACGATTTATAAGCTGAGACTGTATGTTACAACTACATACTAAATTTTTTTTAAATTTTCAAATGCCTTGACAAAATCTTCATGCAATGCCAAATCTTAGATAAACATATTTTCCCATGATTTTTAATGTTATTGTTGACTGCTTGTGTCTACCCCAAAGCTGTAGAAAACTAAGAAAAGCACTGTTCACAGAGGCCAATGCAAAGGTTAAATTTTTTTTTACATAGTTTTGAAATGTTTAATATATTAAGAGTCAAATAGAATAGATAGGTGCAGTCTAACTTTTAGCCATTTTTAATTTTTTTAATGTATACGATATTGGAAATAACAGTGTTTAGGCCAAGGTGGTGGTCCTCATCTTTTTTTATACCCTGTAATTTTTGCCCCAGACATTGGTACATATAGTCCCATAAACAGTCATTCATTGTTGAGTATGCTTATGTTGTGTGCCTTGAAGCATATTTACCCTGGTTGACGTTTTTATTCATTTTCCTTGTAATTAATATTATATTTTAATATTAAATTGTACCACATCAAAAATGTACAAAAGTTAAGGTTTAATTTAGGTGTCTCATTGATTGTTTTTCTTCACATTTCTATGATATAAGGAACAACCCCACACAAATTTATTATGACTAAAGCCATTAAAAGTAGATATGCAGAGTTGTACTAGGAGAGAAACTCATCCAAGATATATGTAGGATATTGGCTGTGACCATTTGATAAATGATGAATGTAGGTATGAAGACACTGTTATATAAGGAAATTATGATGCAAATGTGGAGGGTTCTCTTCTATTTCCATGGTATTCTGTCACTGCCTTTGTTTCATTTGTATAAAGGTGCTTACATTTTTAGAAAGGGTTATTCTTCAGGTTGTGCTTTATGGTTATAGGAAACAGGATCACTCGTTAAAGAACCCAAACCATTCTTCAAGACTAGTTTAGTCACACACACCAACGTTGTTTTTTTTTTTTTTAGGACAAATTGACCAGTTTATTATGGTTAATATTTACACTTTAAATAATTCAATATGCTATTTCATAGAGCATAATTATTTTTCTAAAGTAAAAACTGATTTGAAAGAAAATGTGAGCGGGGATATGAGACTGAACATGACACTATCGCAAGTACATTTTTATCATTTTTTTTTAAAAACAATGTGACATTTAAAAAAAATTTTTTTTTGCTTAGTTATGACATGTTTTCTGGTGAAATTATGCATTTGGAAGGATCATATTTGTTAAAATGTTGAGTATATGGAAAGTATTTTATTGTATATGTCATGTTATTTCCTACTTTGTATTAAAGTGTTGAAATATAACCTAAGTAAAAAAAAAAATGGTGCCTTGCCTAAACCTGTAAAAAAAAATTAATATCAGAAGGCATAATCTAAATAGAATCTATAAGAAAACTGCAATTCATAGTAATTTTTAAACAGTCATGTTTTTATATGAGCCATTTAAGAAATATATCCAAGTATGTACACTATATACTTCCATTCAGATAACCTTAATATACCATTGCACCTTTCTTTTCACCAAAAATGAATAACAAACCCATTGAAAATGTAATAATGACTACATTTGAAAAGAGGTACATGCTTTATTTGACAGTTGTCTGCTTGTTCACATAGATTTCATATTTTTCCATTAGCATGGCATCATTCTTTTCATATTACAACCACAATTTCTAAATGACTAATCTCCCAAGCAGCCTTAAGTGGCCATCCTTCTGTTACCCAGATCTTCATAAAACATCAGTAGTTGATATTTCATCAGGTTTGCACACTATGAAACTAATGGTGAAAGTTAGCAAGTACAACTGCCAGTAGGTAAATTATTGTAAAATTATTCATTTTATTTTTGGATAAAATATTACTCCAAGTTCTGTAAAGAAGACTAACTATTCTCTCATACAAATAAATTCAAAAACCTGCATAACACGGAAAAAAAAAAATAGTGGAATCTCACAACTGCTGTCATAGACATCACCAAACTGGTTACGTTCTTCAGTAAAGTAATTAATAAGAGCAAATACGTTTAATAAGCATAAAATGTGTTCAACAAGGTAATATGCTGCAGTGTTTCTTTAAAAGCTTTAGATTCTTCAAAAGATTCTAAGGAAAGTCCCTGGAATGGTAACGAACGATCCTCCAGAGAATACTGTTAAAGCCAATTCAATTCACAGATTCAATTCTCCGAATCTTCTACCACACACACTCAGCTCTTATACTCAAGAACTATCTTTTTTTATTGATAATCATTATTAATCACAAAGATTAGTCTGGCATTGTCCTTCAGTTGTCAATATATTGGATTTCACCTCTCAGAGGCACCTTTAACAAAGAAAGAAAATGTGAAACCTAAGACCAGCTAAATTACAGAAACCGATCAGTTGACCAGGCAATAACCATCATAGTGTGTACGACCAGTTAGGGGGCTTTGACTACACCCACCAGAGCTGGCCGGAGGTTGCGACCGTGCAGCCTGTAGCCTACTTTGGTAACTACAGCTATGGTACCTGGCTCCTTGCCCTCAATAGGTGCATGAAAGACAGCCTCATGCTCATAAGGGTCAAACTTCTGACCATCAGGGTTAAGCTTAACAAGGCCGTGTTTTTGGAAGACCTTCTGGATCTGCACCTCAGTCATTACAAGGCCGTCATAAAGATTTTTCAGGTGCAGATTTGCAGTAGATATTTCAGTTTTTGGTACGCTTTCGGTTGCCTTCTCCAAGATGTCAGCCACCTCTAAGAGATCTTTACAGAAGCCCTGGATTCCTAAGAAAAGAGACGAGAGTTAAAACATTTAACAAATTGACCCAATCCAGAAATGGCTGTTCATAAAAACTGCTCATAAAATAATTATAATGGCTTACCATAAAGCTTAGCATCATCAATCATCTTTTGACTCCTTTGCCTAAGGTTCTCAGTGTCTGCTAGTGCCCGCTTGTATTTATCCTTCAGCAAAAGACAATAAAAAAAAAATGATCAGTGAACTACAAAGATAAAAGAAAAACACCTATTTGACAAATTACAAAACCTCATACTATTTGCAATGTTTCTTTTTTTAATACCTGCAATAGTTTGTTTTCATTTTCTAAAAAACTCAGTAAATTTGTGTTGAATAGGAATATTATAAAAAATATTGACAATGTGCTGGATTTACTGTAATGATTATTCTGAAACTGAAGTTGCTCTCTGTGTGAGACTCAAAGACATTCTGAGTAAGTCTGGGACACTTTACAGCTGATTTACAGGCAAGTAAATCCTCTGAACATCACTAATCTGAAACATGATCTGCCAATTTGCATTTGTTAAAAAAAAAAAATAATAAAAATGTCCTCAGGGACAGCAGAAACTACAAGGGCAATTAAAGGTCAGGGTGTGTGGGGGAAATTACATGGTTATGAACTGCAAGAAGAACTTTTACTGTCAGATTTGAGGTAATCTTTCATCTAGAACTTCTATACAACAGATGCTAAGACTAAGAACACAGCAATACCGTAATATCTTTCAGCTGTTCTTCCAGTTGTGTCTTTTCTTCTATGAAGGCTTTCTCAGCTGCACTGGGCTCTGGTTTCTCTTCTTCAGTCCCAGTTCCTGAGCTTTTCTGTTGGGCTGCTGTGCAAAGGAGGCGTGGAGTCACCCTGAGAAGTTAAAAGATGAGAATATTCACTAACAGTTTTTGTGTTACAGGCTATATACATTGTTATTATGCAATCAACCTATGGTAAGGGTGGTTGCTGCTGTCAAACAGGCTTATTCTTAAAAGGCAGAATTCTCCAGAAAACAATTTATCATTATTATTTCCAAAAGGAGGTTTAGAGAATACTAGTAGAATGTTATTCTTTAACAATCTCAATGGCACTTGCTCGGCTGGCTAAGGGCCCCACTGAAGTACACAACTTGAATTGTGGCATCTTTGCTCATCAATAGGCTTTTAGGCTGTCTTTTATCCTTTTTGGAACTAAAAGTAGCAATGAAATGAAGTAAACCATTCGTTCTGTACCGTGACGTACATTCGAGTGTAACATTATCAAAAAAGGCTAAATTTCGGGCAGGGACTTCCTTCTATGCAATGGTTGTTGACTGGATTTTGAGATGTGGCATGCACTCAAAAATGGAGGCAGACCAACGTGAGCTTGCAGGGTCAGGGTTTAAGTGGACTAAAGGACCGGGAAAGTCCTGTACACTTAATTTTAATCTTAACTGGATCTTCCGATATTTTGGTTAATAATAATAATAGCAACAACAAGGTCAATTGCTAATGAAACATACATGTATGGATCATTGACAATAAGACATGCATTTAGAAAATAGTAATATTAGCATTTTAACAGACATTAACAGACATTGTCTTTATGAATATTAATCGTATAGATAAAAAAATAGATAACTGCTTCTTTATGGGTAACAGTCAACTCTGAATGCGTGACGAAAGTTTTACATTTGAGCATGTAAAACATTTTAACCTTAAACTGGTTAATTTTATGGTAGGACATTTAAATAGCATGGGATTCTACAAAAATGTATGTATAAACCTAAGTCTACAACTGGTTAAGAGATAGTCTACACCAATCATGAGGTGATACAGTTGCAGTACAACTAGTAACGTTATACACTTCAGTGGCTCTTCAGAAGTAGCTTTGACACTAGCACGTGTCGGAAACGGGTCTTTTATTGGGGAAACTATTTTTAAAGGCTTAGGGAGATTGAAACCAAAATACTGAACTCGATGAAACATGTTCTGTATGTAATATGCAATGATATGGTAAACACCTGAAAGACATTTAGGGAAATTTCACTGAGAAGCAACGATAATCCCATGTAACTTATCTGCAAAGGTATAATGTATCTTACAGGACAACTCGACACACAAAGACAATGCTGTCTAAACACTGTCACATGAAGGAATATAACGGAGGGTCCTTAGAACATCAGCATCAATCATTCATTTGTGAACAGCTCACGTAACAGAAAGGTCATTCATTTCCGTAAAAGCAAAATATTTACCCAAGCATGGACATCAACTACACATAATAACACTGCTGTGAAAACCTACCTTACAAGTAAAGGGGACGCTATGATAGAGGAGCTCTGTCTGATCGCACGCACACACCAGGTCGCCATCTTCACTCAATGTCCACGCTGAGAGACCTGCAGAGCGAGGCTGTCTATTCAACCAATCACAGCTTCTGTTCTTACACGGTTTGTCCTTTACCACCAATCCTCGTTCTAGACAAAACTGACGTAATTCTGTAGTTTGGCTGAGAGGAAGGTCGAAACATTCAGCACGTGACAAGAGACGGCGTCTTTCTTAGGCCAACTGAAGGTTACATCACACCTTTGTTACTCAACTACGCCAAGCGTTTACATCACTCCAGGTCCATCAATTCAGAAAACTTAAAATCTGCTGTCGAAATTGCATTTAATCAGTATTGGAAGATTCGTGTTTACACTGGAGAATGTAAAAGTAAAATGTAGATGCAGACATGAAATAAACATTGACAGAAATTCTTGTACAGTAGTGAGACTACATGCCATTAAGTCTCTGAATGAAAAAAACCCTAATTTTATTTTTTCAAATCACAGTTTGAATTTTACTGTTAGCAGTTGCCCGTATTCAGAATTAAAGTAGGGCATTTGTTTGTGAATTTTCTTCTAGGCTGTAGAGCAGACAGCTGACATTGTTTACTCTTTAAATTTAGGCCAGTAATCCTCTGACTCTCAGTCAGTCTAGCCCAAGTCTGTCTCTTGGACAGTAAGTCATATGAGAGATCGAGGTAAGGAAATCCTAGCTTGTATCCTGATTTAGGCTTAGAATCAGTTCCTGGTTGAATAAGGATTTTTTGTTTCCCACAAACATTTCAACCAAGAAAGGGTCATTCTTAGGCCTCACGTTTGACCTGATGGCCCTTTCTATGTCAAAATGTTGTCATTAAATTGGAATTGTTAGCACTGTGCCAGTGTTTTATAATTTTTTCTACATAACGTTACATGGATTTGTAGCCACATTCCCGCATTAATGTTAGACTTTGGGTTGGTATACTTGTGTCTGCTATATATATATGGGTGATTCTTAGACTATGGGCACATATACACACATATACACATACTCATATTTGAATGTATATAATACACACACACACACACATACACTGAAACAAAATTATAAACGCAACACTTTTGTTTTTGCCCCCATTTTTCATGAGCTGAACTCAAAGATCTAAGACTTTTTCTGTGTACACAAAAGGCCTATTTCTCTTAAGTATTGTTCACAAATCTGTCTAAATCTGTGTTAGTGAGCACTTCTCCTTTGCTGAGATAATCCATCCACCTCACAGGTGTGGCATATCAAGATGCTGATTAGACAGCATGATTATTGCACAGGTGTGCCTTAGGCTGGCCACAATAAAAGGCCACTCTAAAATGTGGGAGAAAAAAACTTAACGGTTTACACAAAAATATTTAGCAATTTATATTATATATAAAATATTTCAAGTCAGCTCAAGTCACCTTTATTTGTATAGCAATTTATACAATGCAGCTCGTTTCAAAGTAGCTTTACATGGATAAACAAGAAAAATAATGGTATAATGATGGTTCAGAGATCAATTCTGCCATAAAACACAGAAAAACTGTAGGGTCATCGTTCAGCTGAGGTCAGTTTAGTGTTCAGTTCCATTCAATCTTATTAAGTGTCCCCCAACTAAACAAGCCAAAGGTGACAATGGCAAGGAACCCAAACTCTTCTGGCCAGACAAACCAACATGGTGTGATTTAGTTCCAGGCTGCATCACAAGTCAGATTGTGGATTGGTGTCATTCAGAATATTCATCCAGTTTTTTTCTGCTTGAAGATTGGGATAATACATTCAACACTGATAATAACAAGAAAAGTTTCCTGAACAGCAAATCAGCATATTAGAATGGTTTCTCTAAGATCATGTGACCTAAAGCTTTTAAATCAACTGCAGGTCAACACAGTCTCAAGGTAATTCTTTACTATTTTATGTTTTGGCAAACTGGTATTCAATTTGTACAATCTCATTTATATTTGTACGATCTGATTGATGTTTATTTTTTAAGGGAGGGTTTAGGGGTGGACTTTCATGCTTACCTTTTTCCTAAATATTGTACATTTACATATGGATGACATTGTATGAATTCATACAATATCATCATCTGGAAAAATAGTTATGTTTTCTAATGAGATTGGGTTGGTAGGCTTATTTTTGTGATATGTGTATATGTGTATATTGTGTATATGTTTTTTGAGTAGGCTAAATGTGTGAGTACAGGCAGTTAGGATATCACTGTCAAATGAGCTTTCATTGTAGAGTTTCTTAAGGTGTGTTGTTTGTTTGAGGGAGGATTTAAAAAAAAAAGAAAAGAAAATGTTGTTATTACTAGAATAATTTGACATCCAAGTCAGCTCACTAAAATGATAACCAGTGACTTGGATTACTTACATCTAATTGCCTGCTTCATCTTCTGAAATCATTGATTTGAGGTTGATTTGTATTGAGTTGGCCTGTTTATAAATGAATGATATAGAATTGCAAAGGGGAGAAAAAATTTAAAGTTTGAGCGCATGCAGATATCATAAAAGATTTCAATGCATAGTTGTTAAAGGAATCATTGTCTTATTTAATATATTTATTTAATCCCACCGTTTGGCTACATGAATGAAACAATAGCATGCTTCTTTAAAGAAATTGTTGAAGATATGGGTTTTATTTCTGGTCACAGTTGTAACCGGTGGCAGTTGTGGGGAAAAGAGAACGATAATCCAAGAATAAATGCTTATTTATTTTTACACTGTTTTATTTAATGTAACAACACTTAAAAATCTAACCTTCAATTAAATGCTTTTTTTAACATTTGATTGAAAAAAAAGAAGATTATTTACACCAGCCAAGCCAACTTGGTTACTATAAATTAAAGGAGTACTTATTTGCATTATTAGGCGTCTGTTGTTAGTACAACAGCTTTCTTAAATGGTTAACGTAACAATCAAACACTTGACTAGTAGCAACACTAGGTGGCAGGCGAATACGGCTGTTCTTCTCCTCGGTCTCAGCTGTTTACTATACAAGCTCAAGAGTGCGCTCTGGTTTGTAGCTCTGCCTCCCCACCCTCTTCCCCTCTCTCTCAATTTCTCTCTTTCTCTCCCTCCCTCCCTCTCTCTTACATTAGAGCTTTCCATCTTTCGCTTGCATCGCACTCGCTTTGACAGTGTTAAATGAAGGCGCGCATCATGGCAGTGTTGGCGCACCTGTACCCAGCTGTGTTTTTGGCTTGCGCGTGGATGTCACTGTTCGGACCGATTTCATGTCACACCGGCGTTATAAACCAGAGAAACGTACGAGACCGAGAGCTTGACAGCCGCGGTGGGCATGTCGCTGGCAGAGATGAAGCGCTTATCTCAGCGCACAGCCGCGGAGATTACAACGGGGACCCCGGCGGACCCCGAGTCAGGAGGGCATCGACTCCGGAGAAAGTCTCTCTACTCAGCAGCTCTTTCGTCCTTAAAGGGGATGCCACCCACAACCAGGCAATGGTCCACTGGACGGGGGAAAATAGCAGCGTGAGTACCCCCCTTTCCCCGTTCTCTATTGTAATTGTCCCGAAAAGTCGTAAGATTGAACGTTGAGTTGTTTATCCTGTCAAGTCTTTTCATAAGGTGTGTAGATGCTCTAAGAATTTATTGCAGGTTGAGAAACAGGTAACGAAGCATCATAGATAGGCGGGTGTTTGGACTGCAGGTAGATGCACAACGACCAGCTTTCATGATGATCATCACACAAAACACATCTGCTGTGTATCGAGAGGTTTAGGTTCAGTGTTTACCAAACCATCCTGCTTGTAATGTGAGCCAGAATGACAGCTGATGCCGAAACGCACATATACCTGCACGCGCCTAGAAAACAGAAGTTCATTGCAAGTCCTTTTAGTATACAGCTGGCTCATGCACAATTTGAAGTTTGACGGTGTTTACTTGCTGAATCGTATAAGCGACGCAATGTGATATAGTTATTATAAGAGCGATCGAACGAGCGCGAACAGCTTGGATGCGCTCTGAACAAACGCGCGATTGTCTGTGTGATGATGGTAGCCTAGTTTGGTGAATTGTATCTGGAGGAGACATCTCTCATTTACAAAGCTGCCAAAACAACTCATGAGCTGTTTACACAAAATGCAAGCGCCCTGAATAAAACCTACTTTCTGTTGAAGTGTGAAGTGCTTTCAAGTCACGCTTCTGTAGTCGGCTTGATTTGCCTTAAACTATTGTCAAAAGTTTAGGACTGAGAAAGATTATTGCTCAGATCTTTCATAATTTGTTTAGATTAAGCAGCAACTTTGTCTCAGATGTTTTTTCTAATGTTGAAATACAGCAAGAGTAAAAAATGTGGATGGTATGGTAAGTTTTATGTGTTAAATCAATTTGATGAGAGTTGTTTTGAGACTTGTAATCTCTGCCTTGTAATCACAGACTGTGCATAATTTAAGACACTGGTGAGATGGTCTTTTGCAACTCTAGTCTAGAAGAGTTACATGTGCTTTTTTTTTTAGAAGACAAATGTGAGAAGCAGGAGACATAAGTGAAATTCTTCATTTTACTCCTTGATCTGTATGGAGATACATTATAAAATAAATATTACAGAGGTGCCATTTGTGATTCTTTTCTTTGCACATCTCATTTTCTTATAACTAATAATTGTAATATTTTGTATCTGAAAGTTTTACAACACCATTGAAACCAACTCCCAGTTTCTGTAATGAAGCACTTTTCCTCTTAACCACATCCAATCTGCTTCTCCGAAGAATCTAGAAAGAAATGCAAACAAAAAAAGTAATTTGGAGAAGCATGGAATTGGCGTGCATTGTCATGTGTTTGTGTGGACTGGTCTTGTTGCTTCTTTTAATTACTTAAGGTCAGAAGTACACTGTAAAAAGTAATGAGTTGAACTTACTTGTAAAACCTGTGGAAACTGATTGCCTCAAATTTCTCAAGCAAATTAGTTTATCATTTTTGAGTTAATAAAACTTACTGTAACTTTGTATAGGTAACTTGTGTATATGTATAGGTTACCAGAAAACTTGAGTGTTGGTTCGCTTTTCTTAAGTAGATTCAGTGATTACTTTTTACAGTGTAACTGTGTGAATTATGCGAGTCCTGGCTGCTAT